ACAACAATAAGAACAACAACAATCTTTCAAGGCATAGCTTGGGTATTGTCCAGTAGAAACATATCTTCAACCCCTCATAGACTGAGTTGCATACTATTATCCTCTAAGATAACAGAGATAAAACATTTTATGTATATCTGTTTTACAGCATTTAAATACACTATTTCAAAACTAATGTTTAGGATAAGAAAACAAAGATAAACACTGGTGCCATATTTGTGCACTCCAAATTCTACACTGAACTGACCATCTGTTTATTAAATTTTGCTTTATTAAAAAAAAAGAGTACAAATGTTAAAATAATAATAATAATTATTTAGGACTGAATAAATAAAACATAGCATATGAAATATGGTGGAATCATTAAAAAAATGACTTAACACCCTCTGTGCTGATATGGAAAGATCATCAAAATATAGCAAGTGAAAAAAGTAAAGACATTAAGAGTTTGTATATTCGGATCCAAGGAGCCCTGGTGGCACAGTGGTTAAGTGCTTGGCCACCAAACAAAAGCTTGGTGATTAGAACCCACCAGCCACCCTGTGAGAGAAAGATGTGGCAATCTGCTTCCGTAAAGATTACAACCTTGGAAACCCTAGAGCAGTTCTACTCTGTCCTACAGGGTCACTATGAGTCAGAATCAATTTGACGGCACACAACAACAATATATTTGAATCCCTAAAAAAATAAGAATATACAGTGTGTATGTGTATACATTTTTTTTTCTGGGAAAGATACACAACAAACTTAATTTTAATTAAATTTAAATTTATCTTTCTATTTTTATTTGAATTTCCTATCCTAAATGACTTTTTACCAAAAAAGAAAAAAAAAAAAAAAGGTTTTTAAAGTTACTAACAGGGATTATCTGGCTTGGTATTAAGGGCTATTTTTAAAATTCCTTGTGAAGATGATATCTCATACATTTTTATATCACCACTGCTTAGCAGAGCATGGAACATAGCTTGCATTCAATGAATGTTTGTTGAACTAAATTGAACTCTGCTTCTCATCTACTTGAGTTTTTTACCTCTCTCTGAAAGTACTGACTTAGTCTTTTCATGAGTCTCTCCTCCACATATAGCATCAAGCACCACCACTACCACCAGTTGACATCATGGTGATCCCATGTGTGTCAGAGTAGAACTGCGTTCCATGGAGTTTTCAATGGTTTACTGTAAATAGTAGCTGCTCAATATGTTTGCCCAATTTAATCATATATTCTCCTACAAGCATGAAATGCAGTTACCAAGGCAGGAAACAGTGATTTTTTTTCTCTTCCTACATGTGCTCAATAATCTATTCTATACACACTATATATTCTTCTACATCAACCAGGTAGTGTGCTTATTTCTGAAGTTATAAACATGAATAAAACTCACTCTCTAAAAACTCATCAATCTATCAAATCTTGCCATGGCAGGAAAAAAATGGGAGGACTGGAGATGTGGATATACCAATATTCCTTCTCTCTTTAGGCTCTTCAAAGGCTCTTTTACCTAACATGCTCTATTCAAATTTATTTCTCATTTTAGTTAGAATACATGGTCAATATAAATACTTGCTAAAGTTTAGTGCAATACTCTTTTAGAAAAGTTAACTACAAACTGATCTGAAATGGATTGGCAAAGGACTATCAATCTCTAATTTTTTTCTACCATAGTAAGCAGTTTCTGCCAATTCTTTAAAAACAGAATTGAAGAAAGAGACATCAGATGAAAAATATACCAACGGCATGGCCTAGCTGCCATAAAATAATGATGGTTATCTAAATCTGAATCTCCTTACATTTCACAAAAAAAAAAACAGAGAGAAAACAAATATAATTACCAATAACCCACACCTATACTACAAACTTTGATTTAAATGTAAGCTAGGAAATAAACATCTAAAACCAGTAGAGTCAGCTCTTGGGGCCACTCCAGAGAGAGAGTCTGGTGGGGATTGTGGATAAAAAGGTGTGGTAGAGAGTATACTTCCTTGGTGGGCAAATACTGAGTCAAGATATGAGATATGAAGATACAGAGCAATGGCTGCTAGGGTCCAGCAGAATCAGAGATGATGGTCCTAAGAAGATATGGCCTAAGAAGAGAGGTAGGTACGTTGGAAGGGGAAAACATTCTTGGAGGCATGATAATAAAATGGAAGAAAGAATCAGGCAGCTAAAATTAAAGGTCCTAGAGTGTAGGCGGTATCACTGAACATAAAGACACAACAACGCTTTATGTCTGCCCACAAATGGAGACAGTTATTAAAGAACCAGAATTTCATTGTATCTATAGAACAGGAAGCTCTTGAACTAAGAATCAAATAATCCACTCTAAAGCCCATCCCTCCCCTCCATAGAATCTTATGCTACTGCTGACGTAGGAAAATACAACACATTCAATATTTAAAAAGCTATACAACTGTGATTCAACTGTATGTATCATAACAAATTATTACGGATAACATTGTGAAGAATGGGAATTCCAGAACACTTAATTGTACTCATGTGGAAACTGTACATAAATCAAGAGGCAGTTGTTTGAACAGAACAAGAGGATAGTGTGTGGTTTAAAATCAGGGAAGATATGTGTCAGGGCTGTGTCCTTTCAGCATACTTATTCAATCTGTATGCTGAGCAAATAATCGGAGAAACTGGACTATGTGAAGAACAGGGTATCAGGATTGGAGGAAGACTCATTAACAAGCTGCAATATGCAGATGACACAACCTTGCTTGCTGAAAGTAAAGAGGAGTTGAAGCACTTACTGATGAAGATCAAAGACCACAGTCTTCAGTATGGATTACACCTCAACTTAAAGAAAACAAAAATCCTCACAACTGGACCAATAAGCAACATCATGATAAACGGAGAAAATACTGAAGTTGTCAAGGATTTCATTTTATTTGGATCCACAATCGACATCCATGGAAGCGGCAGTCAAGAAATCAAACAACAGACTGCACTAGGCAAGTCTGCTGCGAAAGACCTCTTTAAAGTATTAAGAAGCAAAGATGTCACTTTGAGGACTAAGGTGCACCTGACCCAAGCCATGGTATTTTCAATTGCCTCATGCATGTGAAAGCTGGACAATGAATAAGAAAGACTGAAGAAGAACTGATACATTTTAACTATGGTGTTGGCAAAAAATATTGAATATACCATAGATTGTCAGAAGAACAAACAAATCTGTCTTGGAAGAAGTACAGCCAGAATCCTCCTTAAAAGCACGGACAGCTAGACTTTGTCTCACTTACTTTGGACATGTTATCAAGAGGGACCAGTCCGTGGAGAAGGACATCACGCTTGGTAAAGTAGAGGGTCAGCGAAAAAGAGGAAGATCCTCAATGAGATTGATTGACACAGTGGCTGCAAAAATGGGCTCAAACATAGCAATGATTGTGAGGATGGCACAGGACCGGGCAATGTTTTGTTCTGTTGTACATAAGGTAGATATGAGTCATAACCAACTTGATGGCACCTAACAACAACAAAACTGTGATAGTATTATTTTTTTTTTCATTTATTTTAGGAAAGATGCAGAAAAACATTGTAAAAAAATGTAAATATTTGGGTACATAGTCTAGTCAGGGCCAGTTTACCCAATAAGCAAGGTACTTCACAGGCCCAATTATGCCTTCCCACCAATTTCCAATGCACAATTTCACCTGTCCTCTACCACGTCAAAGATGTGGTGAAACCCATGTGAAACTGCTCACCACAGATTAGCAAGGAAATACAATTAAACCTGTCCTACCTTGCTCAATGCAAGCTGATGCATACCGTGGTTACTGGTTAATCTGCCTGAGTCTTGCATGAATAATTTTTCCTATTTATTTTTCCAAATTTTTATGTTGAAGATTTTTGTACTCAGAGAAAAGTTAGGAATAATGCCATGACAAGCATTCATATATTGTTAATCTAAATTCACCTATTGTTAACTTTTGTCAATTTGCTTTCTTTCTCTCACTCTATCACTCTCTACAGTTGACATTTTTCTTTTGTGCACTATTCCTAAAAGATGCTTTTCAAATTCTGACATAAAATGATTCTCATTCAATTAATTCTGTTTCACAAAAAACTTTGCCATTTCTAAGGATTGTCTATGTTTCACCCAATCCCATTTTCGTAGTTATCCAATTATAATTTTTCTTGTTGGACATGACTAAATGAAAACTAATTAAAATTTCATATTCCACTGGGTTGTAAAACTCAGGAAAAGAGCAAAGAATATCATTCATATGCACTCACCTTTCTGATCTGAGAATTCTTAGCAAAGAATATTGGACATTGATAAAGACTTCATTAAACTGATAGACAATTCCTAATATTAGTAGACTAGACAACCATTTAATCTGAACCAGCAGTTTTGAAACCATATCTTATGGGGAGCCATAATGCATAAAATGGACAAAGGTATTCAGGAGCTGCTCTGGATGAAGGGCTGTAGGGAGCTCCAAACCCTGCTAAGCTACTCTGTACTTGGCTCCTCGGGCACCTTCTGAGTCCACAAAGCCCACTTTGAAAACTATTTTTTAATGAAATCGTAAGTTTTGGAGTTTTAAAAAATCCTAGTTATGATGATTCTTCAAAACACACTAAAGAACTTTTTTTGAGAAATATCAATATTCCTTCAGAAACAAAGTAGAAAAAGCTCTGAAAATAAAAACAAATTTTGCAACTCTATATTCATGACAAAATCATTTACCTTTATTATCTCAGTAAATGTATATACGTGCTTTGAAACAGTTTTCTAAAAGGTATACCATGAAAATTTTCAAATGTCTGCATAGTATTCAGCATTCATTTTTCAATTTTATGATCAAATGAACTAACAAAATACATAGTGACAATACATTAAATTTCAATAATACTGTAACATTAAAATTGTAAGAAAATCAGATGTTACCTTAAATGTCAATTTAAAATGATAATAATCGCAAAAAAGAGAGAGATAAAAGCAGCCATTATCCTCAAATAATATAAAAATTATGACACAATGGGAGCTTTGTACCTTTATGCTGATTTTCAAACTCTTCAGATAACAGGTGGTAGCAACAACCCACACTGCATACTCCCTTAATTTCACGCTTGGAAGTAAATATCCGCAGAGTATTTGGAGCAAGATCACCACAAGTATGTAGGCCCACCATCAAACAATCCTGTAAAGAAGAGAAAAATAAATTTTGGTAATTAAAAGGAGGGTTAAAAATAATTCCGATGAAGATTTTAAACATTCTTTAGAATATGTGTACCTTTTAATAATTATCAAATTATCCCAAGAAAATAGTTTTATTTTCATAATGAAAAATTATTTCCTTTATAGGCAAAATGACTGTGATCGCCTATTATTACTGATGTACTTTAGTTTGTTTTATCTAGTGGTTTAGTTACTTAGCCATTTGAATTTTCTGATTTTTTTAACAACTAATATTTGCTTAATGACTACCCAAAGTAATGGTTGGACAAATCAAATACAGCCTGTATTAACTAGGACAAACCTGTGACTTGAGACACATTTATACTACATCTGACCATGGTAGTCATATATTTTATTGATTTCACTTCTTCACAGACTGCCCATTATATATAATTCAGAAACCTGAAAAAGCATTGTTATAAAAAAACATAACTGATGCTAAGTTGGCATTTCTACTCTAACACCAAAAAGTTACTTCATTCACTGCATCAAATATGCCAATATTAAATTCAATATCAAAACTTTGTTCTAATTTTATGTGAATTTTATGTAAAAAATTCACCTATAAAATGTTTTCTTCTAATTACTCAAAGCCTAATTTAAATGTATATACACAAATACATACACACACAGTAGGTTCATATGCATGCACTCAGGAATCTTGATCAATATACCAATTATTACAAAGTTGAATTTAATGTAATACTTTGCAGTCTTTGAAGCAACTCATAGAAATTTAGTTAAAGAAGCAGTAGAAAGTTTGATACAGGAAATCTATGCCCTATCAGAATCACAGACTTTTATAATTTGGAACTAAAAAGATTTTAGAATACTTCTAGTTTAACACTCCCGTTTTAGACAGCATCTTAAGCCCAGACAGTCCAAAGGTCACATTATTAGTGTAAAATCTGTAATATCTTACTTAGCACAGAGTTATATTGATTTCTAATTTATTTTTTTCTAAAACATATTCTCACTTTTTTTAATTTTTGCCCTAATTGTCATTTTGAATTAATATTAAAGGTAACAAAACCTGAAAGTGCTATTTAAAGTATTATTCATTAAACAGATGAATTTCTTTACAACACAAACTAATTTTAGAGGTATAAATAAAATATTGAAGATATATTTGTTTTCTTAAGCGATGACAAAGAACTATTTATTACTGAACTAATTACATAAATTAGAGTATAATTGTTAAGAGTGTTGTCTAGGAAACTAACAGCCTGGGTTTAAATTCCAATTAGACACTTGTGTGATTTAGGTGAGTTTATTTTTACTTATCAGTGCCTTTATTTCCTCATCTGTAAAATGAAGATAATAACATTACCTCATCTCAATGGATTGTTGTAAGGCTTAAATAAGTTAGTATCTGTAAATGACTTAGTACAATGTCTGCCACATAATAAAACAGTAAATGTTTTCTATCCTTATTATTATAAATTTAAAATAACAGACATACATATTTGTGATTCAAGTATATTTTTAGAACTATATTCAGAAAAAATACAAGTGTTTCATTTAAATATTATTTAACAATTTGTGTAGAAATTGTTGAATAAGAACCTTAACTGCCATGTAAACCTTCACTGAAAACTCATTTAAATATTATTTAAAATTATTTTACTAAGATTTTTATTTCAACCCATATAACCCAGACATAACAGGGCTGAAGTCCAGCCTTTCTAAAGAAAAAAAATTGTACTTAAAAATGGCTTCAACCTGATAGAACACTCAAAGGGTTTCAACCACAATTCTCTTCAAAGCACTTTTTTGGAACTGTGCAACTATTTTGCTTTTCTTGATGTTTAGATAGTTTTGATAGGTTTTAATTAGATGTTACAAATAAAAACGAATTCTGTGAAAAAAGGCTTATTGCTAATTAAGGGTAGAAAAACAGAAGTATAAATCTTTCTTTAAGAAACTTAGCTCTCCCTAAAGATAACACAAAACATTTAAATATATCCTTTACTGTATTCATCACATAGGACTCAAACCTCTTGCCACTGAGTCGATTCAGACACATAGCAACCATATAGGACAGAATAAAACTGCCTCATAGGGTTTCCAAGGCTGTAATCTTTACAGAAGCAGACTGCCACAGCTGGTGGCACAGCTTCCTCCCTTGGACTGGCTGGTGGGTTCGAACTGCCAACCTTTCAGTTAGTAGCCGAGCACTTTAACCACTGTGTCGCCAGGGGTCCTTCATATAGAACTACTACTAATATTAGCAGGTAGAAGAGTAAACAAAAACCAAACCAGTTTCCACTGAGTTGATCACAACTGATGGAGACCACGTGTTGCACAGTAGACCTTCACTCCATAGGGTTTTCATGGCTGTGACCTTTAGAAAGCAGGTCACCAAGCCTTTCTTCCTAGGTGCCTCTAACTAGGTTCAAACCACTCAGTAACTGTCATGGATTGAATTATGTCCCCCCAAAACACATGTGTATCAATTTGGCTGGGCCATGATTCCCAGTATTGCATGGTTGTCCTCCATTTTGTGACTGTACTTTATGTTAAAGACAATTAGGGTGGGATTGTTTAACACCCTTACCCAGGTCACATCCCTGATCCAATGTAAATGGAGCCTCCCTGGGGTGTGGCCTGCACAACCTTTTCTCTCTCAAGAGATAAAAAGGAAAGGCAAGGGAGCAGAGGGGAGACCTCATACCACCAAGAAAGCAGTGCTGGGAGCGCAGCGTGTCCTTTGGACCCAGGGTCCCTGCACGGAGAAACTCCTAGTCCAGGGGAAGATTGGTAAGAAAGCCAACAGAGAGAGAAAGCCTTCCCCTGGAGCTGACGCCCTGAATTTGGACTTTAGCCTACTTTACTGTGAGGAAATAAACTTCTCTTTGTTAAAGCCATCCACTTGTGGTATTTCTGTTATAGCAGCACTAGATAACTCAGACAGTAGCTGGGACCTTAACCATCTGCACCACCCAGGGACTATGTGGCAGAGTAGGAGGAAAAAACGTATGCAATCACTATATTATTCTAATAGTAAAAGATTTAAGTATTGCATGTGTGCAGGAGTGGCGGGAGGTGTTGCTTAACTTAGGTTAGTAAATTGTAGATTCACTATAGGACCCAAAAAACATTCTTGAACTATATCTTAGACTCTTTCTTAAAAAATATTAGATTCTTATAAGACTTTGCAGATAGTGTTGATCACATACTTTTAACAAGATTTGTAGAAACTTGAAAATACAATAATAAAAGCACTAAGATTTATATTTTTTGAAGTTAGGTTAAAGTAATTGGGGTTGTTCAACCCTAAGAGAGAGTTAATGTAAAACCTGATGACTGTTTTCATTTATAAGAAAAACAATTAATGAGAATTAATGAGTTTCCATTAACCAGTGAAACCCAAAAATACTTATGAAAAAGAAAAATTACCCATTCTAAAAATGGCCAAACATTAACTACCAAAGGAGGATCTGGATTTATAAAGAAATCTGGTATCTTGTATTTATTCATCTCCACTGAGGAAGAATTTGTGAAAAATTTAACAAGAGTATAATATTACAAGGAGTGCTGGTGGCACAGTAGTTAAAGCACTCGGCTGCTAACCAAAAGATCTGAGGTTCGAACCCACTGGCTGCTCTGCGGGAAAAAGATGTGGCAGTCTGCTTCCATAAAGATTTACAACCTTAGAAACCCTATGGGGCATTTCTACTATGTCCTAGGGTTACTATGAGTCAGAATGGACTCAGCTGCAGTGGGTGTAATATTACAAGGCTTCCTGGTTTAGAAAATAAGTTAGGCCAAATGATCCCTAGAAGCTCCTTCTATAATACTGTTTTAACATATAGTGTTGGCTTTGTATAAGACATACTGTCTCTCGATGACAGAACCTGACATATTTATAATTTAGAAAAAGTGCAAGCCTTAAATACTTAGAAGCTACCTTTCTTGTGCAAGAAAATCGCATATATGGTTACCAAGGCTCAGATAACCTCTTTATATCAAATTTAAATTAAAATGTAAGAATTTTCTTGAGTTGGAATTTTAACAATATCTATGTTGCATGATGAGAACTTAACTTACTTACTAGCTTTTGCACTACTACTTTTGTTTGCTACATAGGCCTGAAATGAGTGGAGGATACTCTATTCTGGAACGTGCTCTAGTCAGATTTTGATAGCTGTGGAATCATGAAAGTCTGGTTATGATTTTATTTTCTTGGTCCTGTAGATTAATATGATTAATTAAGATATGTAGGTTATGTAAGCTATTATTAAAATTTAATTCTATGTCTTACAGCATTTTTGTAAATCAAATTTAGGAATTCAAAAGTGAAATCACCTCCAGGTCTTTAATAATGTCACATAGTTCTGAATCAGCAGTGATAAAAGAAGTTAAAGGTGAATATATATTTGATTCACTTGACTTTGATGTTGTTTTTTTTCTTTCTTTGTTTGCTTCAGAAATTTCTCTGCTGGATATCTGGGATGAAGAAGTAGGTTCTACAGCATTAATAGGCAAAAAGTCTATCAAAGGAAAGACATTTTCGAAACACAAATTTTCTTCTCGCTGTGGCTGAGCATGTATGTTTTCCTTTTTTTTTCTGATATTATATATTACAGGATCTGAAATATCTGGAAAAACACCTGAGAGAGACATCTCTTCTTGATTTATAGCACTGTTATTACACTCTTCCTCAGTATCTGCTTTACATTTAATTTCATCTTGCACTTTCCTTTCTTTTGCCATTTTTAATGCCAGTCCATTGACATCTAATCTTGACCGAGTATGATAAACTCTCCAATGTTTCTTCAATTTCCTATTTCTCTCTTCAGCTCCATGAGTATTGATGTGTGAGGAATCAATTCCGTAAACTTTTAAGCCATACTTCAAGGACAAAAACGAACTTAGGTAGCCTTTACCAGAACCCAAGTCAATCACCTAAAGTTAGGAAAAACAGAAGAATGAAAAGGATTTAGTCAGATGGTGAAAGAAAGCACTCATATTTTTTAAACTACAAGTATTCAAATAGGTTGTATAATATACACAACCTTGTACGCTTGTTTTTTAGTTAATATTTTGATTCCTATTAAATACTAATCACTCTCACCATATTTATAAAACATTTTACTAGAGGTGCTAGCCAGTGTAATAAGTCAAGAAAAAAAGTAAAAGGCATAAATATTGGAAGGGAAGAAATACAACTGTTTTTATTTACAGATGACATGATTATGTCTAGAGAAAATCCTGAGGAAGATACAAAAAAGCTAACAGAACTAATAAATAAATTTAGCAATGTGTCAGCATATAGAATCAGTAGGCTAGCAATGAACAATTAGAACATATATAATGTAGTAGACAAAGAACAATTAGAAAACAAAATTTAAAAACAACTCAATTATAACAGCATGAAGCAAAGATTGATCCACTCTCCACCTTCCTACTTCTCAATCATTTCTGACACCAGCCGCCCATGTGACACACTCTCTTTCTGACCCTAGCCACTCAGGGATAAAGCAGATCTCACAGGTCACAAGGACAAATAGGCAGATGCGAGCCAAAAGTTTGGGAGTCCATACAACACCCTTACTTTCCACCTCCTGGCTTCCGCTTCTCTTTTGAGTTCAATAATTTGCTACAGCAACTCACAAAACTCACAGAGAATATGGTACTTATGATTATATATGTATTATAGGAAAATGATACAAATCAGGACTGTCATAAGGAAGCCACGTACGGGTGATCACGGTCTAGCCTCAACGCGGAGCTTCCCTGTCTCAAAGAGGGTGCACCACCCTCCTTTTGCTAACCAGAGAGCTCTCTGAGTCTTCATGTTCTGAGCTTTTATTGGCCAGTCCTGCATGATAGGATATATCACGCCCCCTGAGGCTAGCTGACAGTCTCCCGGGTGAGTCTTTTCTGGTCTGACCAGTCCCCACTCACCAGCACAAAGCCTGAGGTGTAGCCTGGAAGTCTAAGACCAAGGCACCCTAATCATTCCAAGGGTTATTTCTCAGGAACCTTATTTTGGGTAAAGCTAAATTCTTTACCCCGCATATGACAAAAAATATACTGAAAACTATGAAACACTACATACCAAAAAAAAAAAAAAAAAAAAACCCACAACAAACAAACAAAACTGAACCCATTGCTGTCAACTTGATTTTGACTCATAGTGACCCTATAGGACAGAGTAGAACTGCCCCATAGGGTTTCCAAAGAGCAGCTGGTGGATCTGAACTCCTGACCTTTTCATTTTGTTTTGGTTTTGGTTAGCAGCCAAGCTCTTAACCACTACACCACCAGGGTTCCAAAATACTGCATAGAAAAAAAAATCTAAAAGCTCTAATACACAACCTGTTATGCTTGATAACAGATCTAAATAAATACATATGCCATGTTCATGAAATAGCAGACATCAAGATGACAAATCTCACTAAACTGATATATAGATTCAGTGCAATACTAATTAAAATCCTAGTAGGATTTTTTAAAGAAATCGACAAGCAGAGATTACAATTTATGTGAAAGGTAAAGCACCTAGAATAGTCAAAACAATTTTGAAAAAGAAGAAAGCTGGAGGATTTACCTTGATTCAAGAATTAATATAAAGCTACAGTTATCAAAACAATGTAGTTTTAGTATAAGAACGGACATATAAATCAATGGAAAATAACAGAGTCCAGAAAAAGACCCACACTTACGAGTCAACTGATTTTTGACCAAAGGGGCCAAAGTAATTCAAAGGAGAAGATGGTCTTTTCGATTACTGGTGCTGGTATAACTGGATTTCTATATGGAAGAAAAGGAACCTTGACCATCACACACCAAACGTGAAAATTAATTTAAAGTAAGTCACTGATAGAAACGTAAGAGCAAAACCTATTAATCTTCTGGAAGAAAAAATACAAGAAAATCTTTGTAAAATTGGGTTTGGCAAAGATTCCTTAACTATGCTATAAAAAGCATAAACTATAAAAGAAATAATTGATAAAATGAACTTCATTAAAATTAAAAATTTTTATATCCAAAATACAGTTAAAAAAATGAAAAAAAAATTATAAAACGTGTAACTGATAAAATGCTTTTATCCAGAATACATAAAGAACTCTTACAACTCAATAATGAGAAGCAACTCAAGTAAAAAATGAGCAAAACACTTGAATACACACTTCACAAAAGAAGATCTACAAATGGCCAACATGAAAAAATGTCCAACATGATTAGCCATCAAGGAAATGCAAACTAAAACTACAATGAGATACATCTACACACCTCCACTAGAATGGCTATAATCAAAATGACTAATAATGTTAATAATTGCTGAGGATATGAAGAAACTGGAAGCCTCAAACACTTGTGGAAACGTAAAATGTTAAGCCACTTTGGGAAACAGTATGGTAGTTTACTATAAAGTTAAACGTACACTGACAATATGACCCAGCAATCCCACTCCTAGATATTTACCCAAAAGAAATGAAAACATGTCCATACACCATGTCTTTTATATGATTCTTCATACCAACCTTACTCATGACAGTAAGAAATTACATATATTGGAAACAACTGAAATGTCCATCAACTGGTGAATGGAAAAACAAATTGTAATATAGCCATACTTTGGAATCTTTAAACCAAAAACCAGACCCATTGCCATCGAGTCAATTCCAACTCATAGTGACCCTACAGGACAGAACAGAAGTGCCCCCATAGGGTTTCCAAGGAGTGGCTGGTGGATTTGAACTGCCAACCTTCTGGTTAGCAGCCAAGTTCTTAATCACTGTGCATCCAGGGCTCCATAGAATATTTAATCATCAATAAAAAAGGAACAAATTATAAATAAACAGAACAACACAATGACTCTCAAAAGCTATGTGCTAAGTGAAATAAGTCAAACACAAAAGTCTACATACTATATGATTCCATTTATATGATGTTCTAGAAAGTCAAAACTATAAATGTATCAGTGGTTCCTTAGATCTAGGGGAAGAAATATCCTGCAAAACAGTATGAGGAAACTGTTTAGGGTGATGGGAACATTCTATATCTTGACTGCGATGGTGGTTATGCAATTGCATACAATTACCAAAATTCATCAAATTCTGCACCTGGACTTCATGAGTCATATCATATGTGAATTATACCTCAATAAAACTTATAAATACAAGCGAAATTAAGAAATTACAAAGATTTTTATTGCTGTGTCATTTCATAGGAAATAAATGCACAATTACAGAAATAGTATCAAAATAATTATCTAACCTTATTATTTCTATCTTTAATTCCTAAAATCAATTGATTCCTCACTTAAGTATGAGCCACTCAACAAAACATTCCTAAATTTGAAGTAATGCATATCATGAATTAAATACTAAGAATTTCAGGGTCTTACAATTAGACCAGTTCACAGAGAAGACTAGTAAATAATGTTCCCTAAAATAAGTGATTAGCTTACAAATAATTCCCTATACCTCTGTTTTATTTTCATCTCTGGGCTTATTACTATGGGAAATATGAAAGCATTTTATATATATATACATATTCTTGGCATTAAGGAGCTAAAATCTAACTGCAGATACCACACCAAAATCATGAACATAGGGCTAGATAGTAGAAGCTCTATTAATCTGTTCCCCCATGTCTGAATACCCAGATAAATTAAAGCTCTTTCTCTATATAAAACATACTCACTGATACCAGTGAAAAGTTTAATGCTAGCAACCAGTGGGTTGCTTGTAAGTACCAACACATTTATTATCACCAATTCAGATGCTTGCTTACTAAGAGGTAACTGGTTTTGTTCCCAGGTCTGTTTATAACAATTCTACTTGTGACTCAGGAAAATTCTGGTGCAAGTAACAGAAGACCAAGTTTTGAATAATGAAGAAAATGTATTACCTCACTTAATAAGAAACTTGGCAGTAGGGTGGTAGAACTATTCAGAGGCTTGCCTATGGGCTAGCTTATCTGCAATTCTTCTGGTTGCAAGATGGCTACAGAAACTCCAAGAATCATGTCTTCACTGATAATATCTAAAAACCAATAATGGGGAAAACTTTTTTAGAAAGTCTACCAGAAGACTTCCACTAGTATCTTATTGGGACAAGTTGGCTTCAAGTGCCACCTCCTGTGTTGGCATTTTAGTAACACGTGTAGTGTTAGCAATAGAAAAAACAACTCTGTGCAATAATAGGTTACACTGGTAAGAATCCACAGACGTACAACTTCTTACCTTCAAACTGTCTGGTCTCAATAGCAAAATCCCCACCAGCTTGATCTGCCTTTATCTACCATAGTCTTTTCCTTGTGAAATCATCTGCCCTAGGTCATCAGTTTCAAGATAGAGAAGTCTCTAATCCAATATCTGGGGAGAGGTATCTTCTTACTCTTCTAATTCTGTTTAGGAGACTTTCCCACAGAATCACTGTTGCACGTAATAGTTATATTTCTTAATAATACAGTACTTTAGATAGAACAGTTATATTTTGTTGACTGACCTACAGATCAAACTACCATACTAGGCTAATGACTATCAAATTTATAACTCTTGTTTGGAATTCTCCCATGAACTTCATAGAGCTCTGGTGGTGCAGTGGTTAAGAGCTTGGCTGCTAACCAAAAGGCTGGCAGTTCGAATCCACCTGCTGCTCCTTGGAAACCCTATCGGGGGCAGTTTTACAGAAACATTGTTATACATATTGGTTATACTTCTTAATAATATGAGTACTTCAGACAGAACAATTATATTTTTTTGACTGACCTAGAGGTCGAACTACCATACTAGGCTAATGACTCTCAAATAACTGTTGTTTGGAATCCTCCCATGAACTTCATGCTCATATATACAACTGTTTTCTTAACAATTTTCACTTGGATGTCTAATAGGCATCTCAAATTTAATATGTCCAAAACTGAGCTCTTGTCCAAATTGGTAAGGAAAA